AGCTCCGCCCAGGCAGGAAGAGAAAGGGAGAGACAACAACAATAACAAAAAACATATGGCCTGAATCTACTTTATAAAGTAATTATTAAAATAATTTTCAATATCAGGTGGTTGAATTAAGATATTATCTTTTAGTCTCTATGAAGGATGACTCAACTTTTATAGATTTTCCTACTAAATCGTTTAAAAATGATTCAAAAAGTTATCATTCTATTGATCTTTTGTAATAAAATTCTATTTAACTTAGCAACAATATTACTTAATTTACAATATATTTGTCAATCTAATGACTTTACTAGCTATTAATTGTATCTGACCGTTATCTACTAAATGTCCCATCAGGTCTCTGTCCAACCTCTTCTGACATTTCTAACAGGAAACGTCTTCAGCGATGCACGTGTTTTTTAACCATTGGCATAAATAAATCAAAAAAGATTTGCCAGTTCTTTTTAAGGATTTGATAAAACATCTGATTAACATACTTTCTGAGGAAAAATTTACACTGACTGAAAACTCTAAGTGTTTAGTCTATTTAAATCAAACTCGGGTTTTCCTTCCCCTTTGGTTTGGTTCGTTTGTAAAGATGTGAACACAGTAATCACGCGGTTGTTTTGGTGCAGACCAAAACAACCGCACAGAGACCACGTATGGTTTGTAATGTCAATGCAAGAAGGTACTATAGATGTGCAAAGGTCTGTAGGGACTGTCAACTAGCTTTCAACGTGAAATGAACACTGAATTATTCTCCGTGGTCTCCAATAATCCAGTATACCGCATCTTCTTTGTGTACCTACTTTTGGATTTTTCTCAAACCAAACCACAGGGGAAGGCTACAAGTTTACAAACTCATCAACTGATTTTTATTTTTACCTCCACTACCATTAAATTATTAGCACTACACCCTAACAGTATAGATATTTCTTTGGCCCATGATACTGCAACATTGTAATTGGTTAAGACGTGTCAATTAATACAACTAGAGATTTCTGTGCCATCACTTTTCTGCCATGTTCTTGTTGGAACATTATTTACTTGAGATAATCCACAAACATTTGCTATGGGTAGGAGCCTATTTTTCACGTGACAGCTCTGTAAATTCCATTAGATATTCAGGTCACCCATAAATTAGAGTTTATTATTAAGATCACACACATGTCCTGATCTAATTTTTCACAAATTATATCCAGAAAAAATATCTGCACTTGTTGTTCTATAACAACAACACACTGATGTTGGTCTCAAGCAGGTAAATGCACTTGCAACCATTTCAATCTCATCTGGTGTCAAATCACCTCTGATCTTAATTGGCTGTTAAATATAAAGTGCAATCCCACCACCATGTGCTTTCCTGTACATTGTGAGATCCTGAACCCTTTTACAATGAATTCTGCATCCTCAAATGTAAAATCAAGATGTATCTGATATGTATTATGTGACAATAATACTGTATTTCTGGGACTTCATGTAACCTTTCCCTAATAATATTGAAATTTGCTATCTTTAGTTATGTTTTTTGGTAGTTTAAAACTTAACATGGACTACACTGATAGAAATGTCTTACCTACTGACAAATAAAATTTGGAGCTATCATTAAGATTAATCAATTATTCAATTCACATTCATCAATAATCTTAAGTGCTTATGGCTCTAATTATATTATTCTCTGGTGCATAATTAAATGCAGATTAAAGAGCAATCCTGTGCAGAGCATGTATAGTGCCTTTATGAAATGGTAGTGATTCTACAACAAGGCTGGAGAGTTACAGGCAGTAATTACATGCCTCGGGTAAAATTTTCCTTCCCTTTGTAATTTAGCTGGTCTTCATTTTGCGCTACAAGATAATGGACGCAAATGGATATCATCATCGGTGTGCTCGTTTCATGTTTGTGGTCGGGACGTTTG